AATGTCAACTCTTCGGATGACGATATCTCCCTCTGGAGGCGCGTGAAAAAGGCCTGCACGAGATCGGTTATTTCGACCTATCGCTGGATGAAGAGCTTGAGGAAAGGTCATCCTAAACCATCTGAAAAAGATGCAGTCACCGATCACCCTGGTTTGCAGAGAAATAATTCGATCGCCACGAGACACACTATTCGAAGCTCGATCTACTCGGAAGAGCGTGAATCTTTCCATTCCTCCCAGAGTCAGACCGGCGAAGATATTGCAATGACTCCTGTGCCTTCCCCGGGCTATCGATCAAGCCTCTCTCCAGATGCCAACGGCGGACCTCCGAGTAGTGCATTCTCCTACGAAACGGCGGACGAAGCTCGCGCTGCCGGAGACAACGCCCCCTCAATGCTCCGAACCCAGAATCCCTCGAAAAGGAAGAGCGTCGCCCCCCCTAAGAAGGACTACGGCAGCTTGATCAACCCTCACAAGGAAGTCCCTGATACTGCCCGATTCAAGAAAGACTACTGGAAAAATGTCAAGGTTGGAGATTTTGTCCGTATCTACAATGACGAGCCAATCCCAGCCGACATTGTCGTCCTCTCTACATCTGATCCGGACGGTGCTTGCTATATTGAAACGAAGAACTTGGATGGCGAGACAAATTTGAAGGTTCGGCATGCCCTCCAGGCCGGACGCAGAGTCAAGCACGCCAAAGACTGTGAATTCGCCGAGTTCATGATCGATAGTGAAGGGCCTAGCCCGAACTTGTATGCTTACAGTGGAGTGGCCCGTTGGCAACAACAGGACCCCAAGAACCCTGACGCACCGACCCATGACATGGCAGAACCTATCACCATCAACAACATGCTCCTTCGTGGCTGCAGCTTGAAAAATACCGAATGGATTCTCGGGGTGGTTGTGTTCACTGGGGGTGAGACAAAAATCATGCTAAATTCGGGCATCACACCCAGCAAACGTGCACGGATAGCTAGGGACCTGAACTGGAACGTCATCTACAACTTTATCATCCTGTTCTTCATGTGCTTGGTTGCTGGTATCGTGCAAGGCGTCACCTGGGCTGGAGACGACAACTCGTTGAACTTCTTTGAGTTTGGCTCAATTGGCGGCAATCCCCCAACCGACGGCTTCATCACTTTCTGGGCCGCCTTGATTTTGTTCCAAAACTTGGTGCCAATTTCTTTGTACATCACCTTGGAGATTGTCAGATCCATTCAAGCCTTTTTCATTTGGTCCGATATCCATATGTACTACGAGAGGCTTGATTACCCCTGTACCCCCAAGAGTTGGAACATCTCGGATGATTTGGGACAAATTGAGTACATCTTCTCGGACAAGACTGGAACCTTGACTCAGAATGTTATGGAATTCAAAAAGTGCACCATCAACGGAGTTCCATACGGCGAGGCGTACACCGAAGCTGAAGCAGGGATGCGAAGAAGGCAAGGGATTGATGTCGAGGCTGAGGCCGCCCGAGTGCGTCAAGAGATTGCAGACGCACGCGTGGAGATGTTGAAGTTGCTCCGCAAGACCTACGACAATCCTTATCTTCACGATGATGAGCTCACTTTCATCTCTCCGACCTTTGTAGCTGATTTGAATGGGCAGTCGGGCGAAGCACAGCAAGCGGCGACAGAACGTTTTATGATTGCTTTAGCACTTTGTCACACGGTCATCACGGAAACCACTCCGGGTGATCCACCAAAGATCGAATTCAAGGCCCAGTCACCCGATGAAGCTGCCCTCGTTGCCACCGCGCGTGACGTGGGGTTCACCGTCTTAGGTCGCACCAATGATGACCTTCACGTTAATGTACTTGGCGAAGATCGAACCTACCGCATCCTGAATACTCTGGAGTTCAACTCGACGCGAAAGCGAATGAGTGCCATTGTGCGCATGCCTGATGGCAAGATTAAGCTGTTCTGCAAGGGTGCTGACAGCATGATTTATTCGCGGCTTGCTCGTGGCCAGCAGCAAGAACTCCGAAAAGCGACGGCTGAAAACCTGGAGATGTTTGCCCGTGAAGGACTCAGGACGCTCTGTGTGGCCGAGCGAGATCTCGACGAAGAATTCTACCAAGAATGGAACAAGGATCACGACTTTGCCGCCCAAGCTTTGACCGACCGAGAGGACCGCCTCGAGGAGGTTGCCGACAGGATCGAAAGAGAACTTACACTTCTTGGAGGCACCGCTATCGAAGATCGTCTGCAAGATGGTGTTCCCGACACGATTGCCCTTCTTGGCCAAGCCGGCATCAAGCTCTGGGTCCTCACCGGGGACAAGGTTGAGACTGCCATCAACATTGGATTTTCTTGTAATTTGCTCTCCAACGAGATGGATCTGATCCTATTCGATATTCCCGAGGCCAGCGTTGATGAAGCTGCGAAGCTGCTCGATCAGCATCTCCAGACCTTTGGGTTGACTGGGTCAGACGGAGAACTTGCAGCCGCTAGGCTCATCCACGAACCTCCGCCTCCGACTCATGCTTTAGTCATTGATGGAGAATCGCTCAAGTTGGTCTTGCGAGATGAACTAAGACAGCGGTTCCTGTTGTTGTGCAAACAGTGCAAGTCTGTCCTTTGTTGCCGGGTTAGCCCTGCACAAAAAGCCGCTGTGGTTCAGCTTGTCAAAAACGGTCTGGATGTCATGGCTTTATCTATCGGCGATGGTGCCAACGATGTTGCCATGATCCAGGAGGCTGACGTTGGTGTCGGCATTGCTGGTGAAGAAGGGCGGCAGGCCGTTATGTCGTCCGATTATGCCATTGGTCAATTTCGCTTTCTGCAGCGCTTGGTTCTCGTCCACGGTCGTTGGTCCTACCGCCGTCTTGCCGAGAGTATTTCCAATTTCTTCTACAAGGTTTGTGCAAATTCAAAGGTATCCTTGAGCTTGACTGACTGTGTTTAGAATCTGGTCTGGACTGTTGCACTGTTCTGGTACCAGATATACAACAACTTTGATATCACCTACCTCTTTGACTACACCTACATCCTCCTCGTAAACTTGGTCTTCACATCCTTGCCCGTCGGGCTGCTTGGTTGTCTGGATCAAGATGTCAGCGACAAGGTGTCTCTTGCAGTCCCCCAGTTGTACCGACGCGGGATGGAGCGAAAAGAATGGACGCAAGTGAAGTTCTGGTAAGGAAATTGACCGTTTGTTGGATCATTTCATCTGACGAGAGCTAGGTTATACATGGTTGACGGCTTGTATCAATCTGCCATTTGCTTCTTTATGGCCTATCTCCTTTTCCAACCCGCGACTTTCGAGACCGAGAACGGACGAGGTATCGCCGACCGAAGCCGCATGGGTGTCTACGTTGCCTGTGTGACTATCGTTGTCATCAATTCCTACATCCTTCTCAACACGTATAAATGGGACTGGCTCATGGTGCTGATCACTGTCCTCAGCAGTCTCTTGATCTTTGCCTGGACGGGTATCTACTCTTCTTTCGAAGCATCCTTCCAGTTCTACAAAGCTGGGGCTGAGGTCTATGGGCAATTGACGTTCTGGGCGTTAACACTCCTGACATTCGTGATATGTCTGCTACCTCGCTTCTGCGTGAAATACGTCCAGAAGAACTACATGCCCTACGACATTGACATTATTCGGGAACAGGTTCGACAAGGTAAATTCAAATACTTGGACGAATATGAGGCTTACGTTCCTCCCAAAATCGTCGATGTTTCAGGCACATCATCGGAACAGCCCGAAGAAGTTCATGTGGAGCCGAGCGGGCAGCAGCAGGCTCACCATGCACGATATGGAAGCATGGCGGAATCGCAGCGACCGATCTATCCGCCCTCGGAGGCACCTACCCGTCACCCTCACAGCCAAACAGGCAGTGACGGCACGGATAGAACACAGCCGTCCTTCGACATCACAGGATATCCTGGAGACTCGTCTACCCCCGAGAAGTTGCGGCGGAGAAGACCTTCGGTGGAACGTGCTCGCTCGTCATTTGAGAGGCAACGCCAGTCTTTCGACAAGCTAAGACCGAGCTTCGAAGGGAGTCGCGATTTCACCAGCGCCGCCATGTTGTCAAGAATGGAATCCCAGTATTCCCAACCTGGTCTTAGTGAGGTCAATACTCGAATAATCCCTGAGGAGAACGTGCAGTGACCTCACGGCGAGGGGCAACAGCACATTGCGTGTATCACGAATTTACGCCGGTCTTCTATTCTATACCTACGACAATCACGGCGTTGCAGGACCACATGGAAACCTGGGGATGGTATTATAAGGGGGGGGGCATTCCAAGGGACAGGCTATCGGATTGTGAAGTATTTAGCGAAGGCTTTTTTTTGCTGCATATACTTTTTGAAAAAGCCACACTCAAGCCACGCACCTGATCAGGGCGAGACTCAAGCGACTGATTTTTAGATAGAGCCGCCATTTGGTAATCACGATCGACTCCTGCCTTGTAGATATCCAACAAGCATGACGACATTTAATTGACTGAAAGTTTCTGTTTCGCCACTTCTAGCTACTATTCACTGGTTATCTGGATTTCCATCTCGCAGCTGCCACATACAAATCGACGCATATAATTAAGTGATGTACTCGGTACAAATAGCCACATGCCAAGCCACTTTAACCGCTTAGTATATTAGCGCAACACTAGTGACAGCAGTGAATGCTAGCCCCCCAATGTACATTACATAAGTTAGACGCCAAGACTAGCTAAATAGTCTAGCGCGGTAAAGTTAGTTAGTGACAGTTCACGCGACTTTTTAAGTTAACACGCGCCCGCCGCGGCTCTCACAAACTGCGGAACCACCTTCACAGTGACTTGTCTCGAAGCAACAAGTTCCACCAACTGCGAATAATGGAATTTGCATTATTCTTTCAGGGTCGAATGTCTCACCTAGTATGAGGATCTGTCTACCTGGCCGCCGTCCTACCAGCATGAGAGATTCAGTATCTCACTTATGCATCCCACGTTTTGTTAACATCTCCCGCCCTCGACTGTCGCTGCGGTCACAACCACCGCCGTCATGGCGGAGTTCATAACAGCCTTACAGTAAGTTCGCCAGCGGAGAATTCTCTTCATGGCTGGAGTCGCACTTACGAATCCATCTCGTCCATAGAGAATTCAAAAATTTGCCTCCCGGACTCCATATCTTCTGCCCCCGGCAAAGCGACGTCGACACCGACAGATACGACGACGAACAAAACCCCGACTCGGATGACCCGATTCGCTATGCAAGGATTGAAGAGACCAAGGGACGACGGAGGAGGTTTATATCGTCACTCCAACTCCTCGCCTATGATGGGAAAGAAAGCGAGCAGTACCAACGGTTTATTTGGGACACCCTCGAGGAAGCCCTGGGAAAATGTGACCTTTGCATACGCGAGTACTACATTGCGAAAGTCGGCTTTCTGGATGCTCTTAGGGAGGACTACGAAGAGGATGATGTTGCCAATTTCTTCGCCCTGATCAATCGAAGGGATGTCCAACGGATTGTTCAGGGACTCGACGCTGCTGACCAGACTCTGCGAAGTGTTCCGGAACAAAAGAGAGGGACTGCGGTACTGAACCCCAAACACCTTCACGCTCTGTTTGAGGCACTCGTATCTCAGGCATTCCTAGATGATGAAGAGAAATTGAAAACCCATTTCGATGGGCCTTTCAGGATGATACAGACGAAAAAGGTGCTCAAGATGCGGGATATCCTTCCAGCAGCCACACGATTTCTTTTTGACTCCAACACAATCAGAGTGGTTTGGGCAAGTTCGATCTGGACCCGACTCGATCGATGTCCCACGGACCTTGAATGGGATTGGGCAGTGAAAGACTATCTTCAGAAGAAGCTGCAGACGGCTTCAGATCCTCACGATGTTGCGAAACTGTGGAGTGCTTTGGACCTCATTGTCCAGAAGCTCGACGAACGGTTGATCACCTACAAACTCTTCGACCTTCAACCAAACTTGTGCACAACAGCATTGAACCACTTGGTCAAGCGGACGACTGCTGTCCCTTCCATTCTTTCGACCCTCAAACAGATACTGGACAAGGCCCCGGATGCGTTTTGGCAGGCCATGGGCTCCATCTCCTCACAGACAATTATTGAGCAGATCTTCGCAAGTCCTTTGTTCAACAAGGACCTCCAAGAAGCTACGGCTGCTCTCCAGGACTCCGCTCCGACTGTCCTGTCTTGGATTAGTTCATTGCTCGATTCTCTCAGACCTGCCAACCGGCCGCCCGCTGCACATACACTCCTCAACCAATTGTACGAAAGAATTGACAATGTCTCCCTCAGCCTTGCAGCAAGAAGGGCGTGCTTTGAACAGGCTGTAAATGTGCTGTTAAAGACAGTCATGAGTTTCACCGGTGAAGACGAGGACACCCAACATCCGATCGAGCGGTTAGTCTATCTTGATACCCTGAATCTGGTTGGTCACCGTCTAGACGGGATGCTGCGGCCCAGGGATCAGGCGCTTGCCAAATCACTGCAGCACCGAACTCGAGAAGATGCTGTCAACCTCGTCAAAAACTCAATCGCCTTGGAATGTAAGTGTTTGAAGCTCGATTTCGAGAATCTCAGTCGCAATGAATCTCGGAGGCAGGAATCAAGTGCCTACACTCCAGAGATCTGGACCTCAGTCATTGACAATCTGAGGGACGATGATTGCGCTTTATCTACTGCGGCACTGATAGCGATCATGTCCCTTCCCGGCCTGGAACAGTTCCGAGTCAGAGAAGGCGACAGCCTCGCCAAAGAAAAGAAGTCGTACAACGCTATCTTTGAAAAGGTAAACCGAATGATCAGCAAGCTACTAGAGCGCATATCCGAGTTTCAGCCACCCCATCTGGACACCCTATTCAGACAACAAGATACAAGCATGTCTCTGGTAGCAGCTTTGTTTTCTCCCCACCAGGAGATATATGAAGCAGCAATAGCAATGGTCAAGCATATCAGCGGAGAGTCAGGTCGAAAGGAAGCTCTGGCCCATTTAATCAACGCTTTTCTCGGAACTACCATATATGGTGTATGCTGGCTGTTTAGGCGAGTAGCCAACTACAAGACCTTTGCCTCAGTACCCAGAATGCTCAAGACTGGTATGGAAATCCTCGACGTGCTCTGCAACCCAACAGATGGCCTCCTACGCCGCGTGCAGATGTCGGGCCGCGACCTCAAAGCTGTACAGAGCTATTGGTCATACCAATGGATCGCTTTGAAGACAATCTACGGCCACACGGAGCGCTGGTCGCTGGAAGTGCACAACAAGGATGTCATGAAAGAGGTCTGCCGTGATGCCATGCAATATGCTGAAGAACTGTTCCATCAATACGACCTTTTCGCGAGCGTTTTGACAAAGGCAAAGCCGGACAAGGCTGACGAGATTCGAAAGTCGCTCTTGGACTCGGCTAGCGCCAGTGAGAAGAACATAGGCTCACCCTTGAGTGCTCTAGATACCATGTGCAAATGGCTCAGACTGAGGGACGAGTATTTAGCCGACACACTAGTATCGTTAATCTGCAATATGCTGTACCAACTCAAACGACTCCGGGCTGTGGTGACCAACAGTGAAGGTCTTGCATACGTGGAAGATGTGGCGACAGGAAGCACCGTCAGAACAATGCTATCAGCCTCACAAAAGGCTCGACTCGTACGGGCTCTGGAAGACTACTTTGACCGCCAAATTGGAAGACCGGCCATCAAGAAGCAAGCGACGCTCAATCTGGGGAAATGGACCGATTCAGCTGCCGCTTCAAGAATCTCTACCCCAGAGTCGAGGGATCGTACCGCCGACGAATTCGGAGACGACGACATCGCTGATGAGGACCTCATTGAGATTGCCAGCAAAACACTTGATACGCACAAAGCAAGAGTCACAGCCAAGGACAAGACGAAGATCAAATCCCTACTCTCGCAGCAGGCGCCCGCAGCACCAAAGACCGCACCAGCATCTACAATAGACGTTCAAGCGAAGAAGGCGCAAGAGGCTAAGGCCTTCATTGAGAATCGAAAGCGCGAAGAAGCAGCCCGAAAACTCCGAGACAAGGAGGCTGCTCTCAAACTAAAGGGCAAAACCGGAATCGGTGCTCAGACAAGCGGACAAGGTTCAGGACTTGCTGGGCTGGGAGTTGTGGGCAAAGACCATTCGGCAGGTCCAAACAGTCTCATGGTGTCTAGCGAGTCCGAATTTGACTCAGATTCGGACGATGAATTGTTTGGCATTCAACCGAGGGGTCCTACAGTTCGTGATCAGCTTAGACAGAGGAAGCCCCTCCCAGCTGGCCCTGTGCGTAAGGTCAAGCAACAACGAACCCAGAAGGATATTCGTGCCCGACTTGCTCCTGACCTAAGTGAGCTGCATCGCACAATCCTTGGCTGGGATTTCTTTGCAGAGACCGATACACCTCCCAATTCTGCGACGGATGACTACACCCTTGTCACAAACACGTTCCGAACTGCACAGGACTATCAGAAGACGTTTGAGCCGCTGCTGGTGCTGGAAGGCTGGCAGAGCTTTCGTGCGGCACGGGAGGAGGGCAATTTCAAAGCCTTTGAGGTCAAAGTTGCCAACTCACTGATCGTGGACAGCTTCTTTGAGATCAACTCCTCGATGTCTTTCTCAGAGGGGAAGGATCTCGGCATCGGGGTTTCGGATGTCGTTTTGTTGTCCAAGTCCAGCAAACCGGATCAGGATTCCAGCGAGCCTCACTGTCTAGCCAGAGTCAAAGAGATTTCCAGGAAGAAAGGAGAAGTCCAGGTCGTCTATCGGGTGAATGCTGCAAACAATCCGCTACGCCCATTCCTGAACGACAAAGCCGTTGTCTACGGTGTGCAGATCTTGTCACTGACACCATTGGAGAGGGAGTATGGTGCGCTCATGGCCCTACAGTACTATGATCTATGCGACGAGATCATCAGAGCGCAACCTTCACCCATCCTTGATTATGCGGGAGAAGTGCTCCAGCCAATCAAGACGACTTACAATGTCAACTTTGCGCAAGCTAAAGCTGTAAAGTCCGCCCTTGACAACGATGCATTCACTTTGATTCAGGGTCCTCCCGGTTCCGGCAAGACCAAAACTATCTCTGCACTTGTTGGTGCCATGTTGACGGGCTTTGTCAAGAGGCAAGATAACAGCGCTGGAAGATCGAATACAGCTGCTTCCGCGGCGCGACCACCATCTTCCAGCAAAAAAATCCTAGTGTGTGCTCCCAGCAATGCCGCTGTGGACGAGTTAGTGATGCGATTCAAGACGGGGGTTACATTGTTGGACGGCACTTTTGAGAAGATATCAGTCGTTCGCTTGGGTCGCAGCGAAGTGATTAACACTAATGTCAAAGATGTGACTCTTGAGGAACTGGTCAACGCTAAGCTCAGCGCCGCTGCACCTAGGGGTCCAGGAGAAGACATCCATGGACTAATGATGCAGCATAAAGAAGTCTCAGAAGAACTGAGAAATCTCCGAGACTCGATCCAAGATCGCCGAGGCAAAGGTCAGTCAGTCCCAACCACTGACGAACAACTGATGGACGCTCTTCGGCGCAAGCAAAACGGGCTGGGTAGCAAAATCGATGACCTGAGAGAAAAGCAGAACACTGCGTCTCGGGATGTAGAACTCAGTCGAAAACGAATTCAACAGGAGATTCTGGACTCGGCACATGTTCTCTGTGCAACTCTGAGCGGAAGCGGACACGAGTTATTCCAGAGCCTCAATGTCGAATTTGAGACAGTCATTATCGATGAAGCTGCACAGTCAATTGAACTGTCGGCATTGATTCCTCTCAAATATGGATGCTCGAAGTGCATCCTGGTTGGCGATCCGAAACAATTACCACCAACCGTTCTGTCGCGCAAAGCAGCCAAATTTCAGTATGAACAGAGTCTGTTCGCCCGTATGGAACACAACCACAAGAAAGATGTACACCTTCTCGATACGCAATATCGTATGCATCCGGAAATCAGTCTGTTCCCAAGCAAGTCCTTCTACGACTCCTTATTGAAGGACGGCGAAGGCATGGCCGAGCTTCGTCGGAAGCCGTGGCACCACAGTGAAATTTTCGCACCTTATCGCTTCTTTGATGTTCAAGGAATGAGTCAAGCAGCAAGCAAGGGGCACTCATTGGTCAACGTTGCTGAGATCAACGTCGCCATGCAACTGTACCGGAGATTGACGACAGATGTGCGCAAATACGACTTTACAGGAAAGATTGGCATCATCACCCCATACAAGGGCCAGCTGAACGAACTCAAACGCCGCTTCAGGGATCAATATGGCGAGGCTATCTACTCGAAGATTGATTTCAACACGACAGATGCATTCCAGGGTCGAGAGAGTGAGATCATCATTTTCTCTTGTGTCAGAGCTTCAACCCAAGGAATTGGTTTCCTTAACGACATACGACGTATGAACGTGGGTCTAACCCGCGCCAAATCCTCCCTTTGGGTTCTGGGCAACTCGCAAGCACTTGTGCGAGGCGAGTACTGGCGTGCTCTGGTCACGGACGCCAAAGCCAGGAATTTATACACTGATGGTGACCTGACCAGGCTGCTCAGCCGACAGCTATTGACGGAGGACATGATGAAAGACGATATTGAGATGCTTGACTGCAATGTCTCTTTGTCCGAAACTGTGAGGTCTCCCACAGTCGCCGAACGACCATTCAGTGGCAAGCCAGACTCTAAAGAACCAGCACCAGCACCAGCACCAGCACCGGTGAAAGAACGGAAAGACGCTTCTCGGCCGATGAGTGCCGTGGATCAAGCTACTCCGTCATCGCACAGGCCACAAAGCGCTCTTTCAAGACAACCTTCGACAGCCTCCTTCACTCGACCAGAGCCGAAGCGACAGGACTCAGGACCCTTGGTAGGAAAACGAGATCTCCCCAAAATCGATAGCACAACTGGAAGACGTATTGTTTCGAATGGATCACGGCCTATGGAACCTAAGACCGTGGCTACGACTCCAAGAGCTGACTCTGGCGATTACAATCCTTCTGGCGGTAGCAACGGCCTCAACGACCTCCGTAACTGCACAGTTTGTGGGTCCTATGAGCATCGAGCGATTGATTGTGACAATGAAGAAGCCTTGGCTGGGTCAATTGGTATTTGCCAAAGATGCCAGTACCCTGGTCACACCGTCACCAAATGCACTGAGCCTCGATGTGTCTCTTGTGGGGAAGTAGGCCATGCCACCGATCACTGTACGACCCCCTTGGACCAGCGACTCAGCAAAGCGCAACAAGAGAGGGTGCGGAGAGAAGAGATCCGCTATGGCGAAAGAAGAGACAGAGCACGTCAGCATCGAGCAGAAAAACAACTTGGTGAACACGACGCGCAGATCCCTTTGGTGAAGACCTCAATGACAAGCTCAAACTCGGTCACATCGAGCAAAGAGATCAAGAGAAAGCGAGATGAGTCTTCTGGTAGTGAATCGACGAGAGCCAAAGTGCCGAGAGCCAAACAAGAAAACAGATCTCCAGCATCTGGCGCGGTCAATGTGCTCAAAAGTCACCCAAGCTTACCTCCGAGACCGCCTGGACAGGCCGCTCCACCGGGGCCATCGGGTCAACCGCCAAAATTTCCGGGTGGCCGTCCGCCTATGGTGAGGAAAAAGAAGACCAACGCCGATGACATGTTCATGAAACGAAGATAAGATCGGCACTAACAGACACCTTCAAGATACAAGGCCTTAAGAGTCTTGCTTTCAGCGCTCATGGTAGAGCCACCATCAGCGCGCACGATTGTTGTGGAGCTGATATCGACTTTTTTGCATTCCATGAAAGAGGCAGTCGGTAGACTCTGTCTACTCATGAATACATAGCATCAGCTGGAATGTAATTTGTGGATGCAGCGGGTCAGTCTACAAGACGCTCTTGTATATGATTGTAGCATCTGACACCGCAGAGGACATGATGAGCATGGACATCATCATGCATGGGAAAAGTATCGAGCGGAGCATCTGCATAGCGACGGGCGTTTCAGTGGCAGACTCGGACTTCCAAGGGCGGATACATCATGAAGTCCAGACCCCGCGAGGTCGGAAACGGCCAGACCTTCTGACGAGATATGTAAATGGTTACGACCAACTAGACTTTCGGAAAGCAAGCATTGTGCATTTAGGGGATGCATAGCGTGTTGGACTCGCAAATTCATGGTGGCCTCGACAGGTAGATTCGCAGTCCTGATGCTCATCGGTGATAAGGCTGTGGTCTACGTAAGGCTGTACAAGGCTGAGCGAGGCTGAGACCCAAGGTTCTTGGCACACTTCGTTGTTCTCGGCATAGATTCCTCTTTGGTGACATGGAGGTTTGTCCAAGTGTCCTTTGACATCGCAGCCAAATTGCAAGGTCTCATCGAAGCTCTCAGGAGAAAAGTGTCCTCCATCTCTCTTCCATTTCCTCTGCTCCCGCACTTTTTTCTTGCACTCCTTTGCTTCCCTCTTGCTTCCCTTTCTCCCCAACAGCCTCAAGCTGTTTTATGGTGTACAGCAACCATGAGTGGCCGTGCGTGCCCCCTTCACCCTCCTCTCCTCTCCGCACTTTCAATGGACAAAATTGCTGATCACAACAACTACAGTCCGCTTTCTCGACCTCATTAAACCCTTCACCCCCCTCCTGCCGGAGGTGGCGGCTCCGGAGTCCAAAATCCCTTTCAACCAGAAGTTGATGTGGACAGGAGTAAGAGCGCATCCAGTCCAAAACCACGCGACTGATCGCAACACGGTCAAGCAACGTCAGGCTAATGATTGGGCTGCAATGGGTAGTGTACACTCCTAATTTTCTTGGTCATGAGCCAAATGCCTCTGTACGGCATTGTCTCGTCCGACACTTCAGATCCCATCTACTGGCTGCGTATGATGCTGGCCAGTAACAGGGGCACATTGATGGAACTGGGTACCACACCCATCATCTCCTCGGGGATGGTTTTCCAGGTATGCGCGAACGCCCCGTCAGTCGTCTTTGGCAGCTGTAACTGACGTGACTCCGCAGCTGCTGGCTGGTACTCATCTCATCGACGTCAACCTCGATCTCAAGTCCGACCGCGAATTGTACCAGACTGCTCAAAAACTCTTCGCCATCATTCTGTCATTCGGCCAAGCCTGCGTTTTCGTCCTCACCGGTCTGTATGGCCAACCAAGCGATCTCGGTGCTGGAATCTGCCTTCTCCTGATCGTCCAACTGGTGATCGCTGGTTTGGTGGTCATTCTGCTGGACGAACTCCTCCAGAAGGGATACGGCCTTGGATCCGGCATTTCCCTCTTCATTGCCACAAACATCTGCGAGTCCATCATCTGGAAGGCCTTCTCCCCGACTACGGTTGATACAGGTCGCGGGAAAGAGTTCGAAGGCGCGGTGATTGCCCTCTTCCACCTGCTTGTCACTTGGCCCGACAAGACCCGCGCACTCCGTGAAGCCTTCTACCGCCAACACCTCCCAAATATCATGAATCTTTTGGCGACCCTGACCGTCTTTGCCGCCGTCATCTACCTTCAGGGCTTCCGGGTGGAGATTCCAGTCAAGTCATCTCGTCAACGCGGCATGCGAGGCTCCTATCCCGTCCGCCTGTTCTACACCTCCAACATGCCCATCATGCTTCAGTCCGCATTGGCTTCGAATATTTTCATGATCAGCCAGATGCTCTACACCCGCTTCTCCGACAACTTGCTGGTGAAACTTCTTGGAACATGGGAGCCAAAAGAGGGCTCGTCCCAGTTGTATGCTAGCAGTGGCATCGCTTACTACATGTCCCCACCACTTAACTTTACCGACGCTCTCCTCGACCCCATTCACACCGTTATTTATGTCACGTTCATCATTGTCACCTGCGCGGTCTTCTCCAAGACGTGGATCGAAGTGTCTGGTAGCGCTCCACGCGACGTGGCCAAGACCCTGAAGGATCAAGGATTGGTCATGGCAGGTCATCGTGAGCAGAGCATGTACAAGGAGCTGAAGAGAGTCATTCCCACCGCGGCTGCGTTCGGTGGTGCGTGTATTGGGGCGTTGTCCGTGGCAAGTGACATGCTTGGAGCGCTCGGGAGCGGGACTGGGATTCTGCTGGCGGTGACAATCATCTACGGATACTTTGAGATTGCGGCCAAGGAGGGAGATTTCGGCCAAGGGTTGAAGGGGCTGATTGCTTAGAACCTTTGACCGGGTGTTGACGAGTTGAGCTTTTTCATACACTACAAGCTTGTTAAAGACGCTAGGAGAACAAAAAGTGCGCGCCCTGTTTCTGCATAGCCAAAGGATTTTTTTTTAGGGTCAGGGTTGGGAAATGCTCGGGCAATGAAAGGAGCCCAAGTGGAAATAGGGGCTGGAGGCGACCAACGAAGGGAAAATATCATCACGTCTGGTCTGGTCTGGCATTTGCCTGGCATTCCTTGTATAGTACCGAGTATCATCCTTGTGTGTATGCAGCCTAGCCTGGCCTGGCCGACTTGTTCTCGTCATGTTGGTGGGTGTGCTTGTCCTGTAATGTACTTGGTCAAACTCTTTGCTCTCTACAGAACTGTACGGTACGGTATGGTGTGTATAGGACGTATATAGTATATAGTATATATATATATATGTTATATACAGTGTGCTTGCTCGGTGTGCTTGTCTCGTCTTGTTTCGTCTCGACTCGACTCTCCCCTATGAGGAGGGAGGATGTAATCCATAGGACCAGGAGCATCTGGTAGAAGGGTGGTCGTTGGCTTTGTTTTATCGACTCCAGTAGTTCATCTTCCTCGCCGCCTTTTCTGCTTCATGACGTTCGGCCATACATTTGTTCGCTTACGTCTCTATCCATATACCCACCCCCCAAGTCATGCTATGCACCCTGGGGAGCTAGGGAGCTACGTGCGATAATCCCCGTTGATGGTAACGTATTCGTGGCTGAAATCGCACGTCCAGTAGTAACCCTCCTCGCGCCCGACCCCCAAGTCAACGTCGATGATCAGGTCCTCGTCCTCCAACAGCCTCGCGGCCCGGGCCTCGTCCACCGTCTGCGGCTCCCCGTTGACCAGAAGCTTCAGCACGCCCTCGGCCTTGGATTTGGAGTTTTCGGCAGGGACAAACGATACGTTCGTCCGCGTAGGAGTGACAGATCCGGTCGCGCTGGAGAGCGAGATGTTGGGCGTGTACCCGATCGCGCAGAGGATGCGGCCCCAGTTGGCGTCCTTGCCGTAAAGCGCCGTCTTGACAAGCGGGGAGCGGGCGATGGTCGAGGCAATGGCTTTGGCGTCGGCCTCGGTCAGGGCGTTGCGCACGTGGATCGTCACGAACTTGGTGGCGCCTTCACCGTCACGAACCACCAATTGCGACAGTTGCTGGGAGAAAGACGTCAGGATGGCGGACATGGCGAGATAGTCCTCACTGCTGGTGGAGGAGATTGATGAGTCGGACGCAGAGGGCGAGGCGGCACCATTGGCGAGGAGGGCAACGGTATCGTTTGTAGAGGTGTCCCCGTCGATGGAAATGCAGTTGAATGATTTGTTCACGGCGGTGGTCAGAAGAGATTGCAGAGCTCCCGCGCTGATCGGTGCATCTGTGCACATGATCCCCAGCAGCGTAGCCATGTTGGGGTGGATCATGCCAGCGCCCTTGGTCATTCCTGCCAGTCTGTACTCAACGCCTTGATGCTGAGCACCCGGCAGGGTGAATGTGGTGGATAGGAGTTTGGGGAATGTGTCCGTGGTGCAGATCGCTTTTGCCGTAGTCAGCCAGGAATCGTGGTCGTTGCCGAGATTTTCGTATGCGGTGGGAATCTTTGCCAGGATCTTTTGGATGGGAAGCCTCTGCCCAATGACACCCGTAGACATGACGAGGCTGTTTGCGTCGCTGTCACCTTGCGAGTCAGCTCCCTGTTGGAACTGGGCCGAAGCTGTCTTCGACATGGCCCAAGCATCGTCCACGCCTCCTTGGCCCGTGACAGCATTGGCGCAGCCAGAGTTGATAATGATACTTCTCAGGCCTGCGCCGCTGCGCTTCTCGAGCACTGCTTTGCTCACTTGAACAGGTGCAGCTTGAAACTTGTTGGTAGTGAAGACGGCGGCGCCATAGGCAGGCCTGTCGGAAGCGATCAGGGCTAGATCAGGATGAGATTTATTGGCTGGCTTGACGCCAACGTGGGTTCCTGAGACCTTGAATCCTTTGGGATAGGTGCCAGAGGTGGGCACGTATTTTACCTTTGAGGCGGGAATAGACGCGTCGACTGGGGCAGAGTAATGTCGAACGAAGGTTCGGATGACTGAACGGGTCGTCGAAGGACTTATTGCGGAGGCCATGTTTTGGCGGGAGATAAAGAGTTGGATTGAAGCAGGGAGGATACCGCCAGTCGGGTTCTTGTCTCTTCCTTCCGCAATACCGAGCCAGTATCTGACGAGTTTCCCGACTCTTCAGCTTCAGTTCATGCGGCGAAGGGGTAGATCGTTCAATCGAGCTGAGCCAGTCAGTCAGTTGGCTCTGTCCTTCCTTATCAATGGCTACTGATGAGAGGAAGTGAAGACGTCTCAACCTCACGCACAGCAGGTATTTCGATGTAGATACTGTCAGGCCGATAATTTTCCCGAATTTGATGTCGATATCGCATCTGCGTTCGCGCAGGGCCTTTCCATGGACAAAGCACCGTGGGTAAAAGAAAAAGATGAAGCGTGAGTCAAAAATGGCAGAGCAAACGACGGGCCAATCAGAGTCGCCGGTTTGCGGAGCGGGAGTCAAAGGCGCGTCGCGCAAAGGAGACGAAGACACAGTCTTTCAGTCTTTGGATTCCCTCCCTCCATGAACACTACACTTCGACCTATCGTGTCTTCTCCCTAATCCTCTGTGGCTTGATGCCTTCAGCGCTGTGCGATGGCCAAACGAAAATATCCCGACCCCGACATTGATTCCACCGCCACAGTCACAGACACCCCTTCCAAGCGTCGAAGGAAGACTACAGATGGAGGAGCGGCACTCACCAATGGAGACCACGAGGACGGCTCTGCCCCAAGCCCTTCGAAAAATAGGACACCCAAGCAAAAGTTAACGCCTTCGAAGAGGAAAAGAAAGTCCGTCGTCGAAGACCTTCAGGCCGAGGAAGATGAAGATGAAGGCAGTCCCACCCCAAAGCCAAATGGTCGTACTCTCTTCTCTACTCCGACTCGAGGCAAAGGCGCCGCAACAGCTACTACCCCCTCCAAGTCTGCACGAGCAAAGGCAGACAGATCTGCCAAGAGGAAGAGTGCCCGACTGCTGGCTGAGGCGCAGGACGATGGAGATGACGGCTTGGACGGGCAAGACGCGCGGCTGGCGCGGGAAATACTTGATGAGGAGGATGAAGAAGACGAGGGCCCTGACGGAGATGGGCTCGACCAGGATATCGTGGCGGCGGTTGAAGGGAATGAAGTTGACACGCCGTCAAGGAAGAGCACCGGCAAACGAGGGCGACCCAAGGGAGCAAAGTCGAGGAGATCGCCCACCCCGGAAGGCGACATTCCTCCTGAAGAACGGTACTTTTATCAGAATCGTTCTGGCCCTCCTCAAGTCTCAAGCAACAAGTTCAACTCGGTCAAATTGCTCACGCACGAGGAATACCTTGAAAATATCTCATCATGGCAAGACCCTCACGAGCCGGAAAAGGCATTTCTGATGAAACTGCACACCCGGTCCTTTCCACAGTGGCGCTTCGAACTTGAGGAAGGGTTTGGTCTCTGTCTCTACGGCTATGGCAGCAAACAACCTCTGGTCAATCGCTTTGCAGAATATATGTACAGCAAATGTCATCCGCCTCCTCGCATCGTTGTGGTGAATGGCTATATTCCAAAACTGAACCCGCGAACAATCCTCAACACCATTGCATCGGCGGTGTCTAATACAGAAGACCAAGCAATTCGCCTAACCGGCCAACCAGAAGAAATGCTCGACGCCCTACTCTCCCACATTACGGATGAGCCACCGTCCTCGCAGCTCCTCGTCATGGTCAACTCTATCGACTCCACTTCCCTCCGCCGGTCGTCCATACAGTCTCTCCTCGCCCGTCTTGCTGCCCATCCGCACGTCTGCTTTCTCGCGACATGCGACACACCCACCTTTCCAGCCCTGTGGAACTCATCCCTTCTCGATCAATTCAAATTCGTCTTCCACGATTGCACCACTTTTGCACCTTACACGGCCGAGATAGGGAGTGTTGCAGACGAAGTCCACGAATTACTGGGCAGAAAGAGGATGCGCGCCGGTGGGAAAGAGGGCATCGGGTTTGTGCTGAAGAGCTTGCCCGAGAATGCCAGGAACCTGTACCGCCTGCTCCTCGCCGAGATTCTGAGCATTGTGGAAGACGGACTCGATGGCGAAGGCACGCAGTACGCCAACGACAACGCCGCCATAGCCGAAGAAGACGAAGGGCAACGGAGGATAGCCTCCCGCAAGACGTCGCGAGGCGGCAACGACCACAAGATGACAACCGCGGCGCCCGCTTCCAACACAGACGCGGAGGAGGTGGGCATCGAATATCGCACGCTCTACCGCAAGGCCGCCGAGGAGTTCATCTGCTCGAGCAGCATGAACTTCCAGTTCCTGCTCAAGGAGTTCCTGGACCACCAGATGATCACCAGCCGGCGCGACCCTGTCAGTGGTGCCGAGTTGCTGGGTGTTCCTCTGGGTAAGGCGGAGATGGAATCCGTCTTGGAAGAACTCATCTGAGGGAGGTCAACACACACGGTCAGCGCATCCAGTCACAGGCAATGGGGACAGGCAGGGACGGAAAATCGGGTTGGTGAGCGGAAGTGATTGCCACAACCATCCACGAATAGAGTACTAGGTAGGTATACGAATCAGAACACGATCCGTATTTACTTTGTATACAGCGAGCTATGTGACGCTACATGACGCTGGAGGTCTAGATCAAGAGCTCGCCGATATCGAGTCGACCAGTACCGCCGCATTTACACTATACTATTATGTAGCTCACCTAAACGTGGTTGATTGATCATATTGAGTTTTGCTTTCGTTCGGTACTGAGATGCTGATCCAGATTCCCAAAGTCAGGTTTGAGATTCGTGTTTGGGTTCTATTCTGGAGAAAATTGCAATTAAAAAAAAAACACATATTTCATGCTGATTTATAGACATGCATGGACGAGGTAGACAAGGGATATGCATAGATATGAGTGTACGTATATATGTAGACGCCGACCGCGCCCACTTCCGACAGTGGCGATGCATTCAATGTCTCGTTCCGTGTCCCTCATGCTCCTCGTGTCCCTTGTGCTCTGTCTACCATCCATATCCTGGACATCAACACCCGGCACTCTGAGGACCTGATGCATACAACGGTCAGGATCATGCCCGAACTCGTCATTTCTCGTTTCCTTTCTCCGGCGATTGCGTCCCTGTCATCGGTTCGATCTTCGTCAAAGGTCTTTCCTCGCTACAGCCTGGTGGTGGAGAACAGCAAGAAAGAATAGACAAGGATCTTGTCAATCTATCACCCAAGCAAGCACCGTTCTTCGCGCGCTTCTGATCATCTACCAGCCCCGTCCGGCCAGCTTGTCGCCATCTTTCATGCCGCTGACGTTGATGCCCACCATGGCCTCTCCGAGGCCCTCGGAGCACTGTGCCAGCACGTGTGCATCTCGGTAGTGCGTGGTGGCCTGCACAATGGCCTTTGCTCGCTTGGCGGCATTGCCGCTCTTGAAGATGCCAGAGCCAACGAAGACACCGTCACAGCCCAGCTGCATCATGAGCGCAGCGTCGGCGGGGGTCGCGATACCACCAGCGGCAAAGTTGACCACGGGTAGGCGGCCGAGCTCGGCGGTCTGCTTGAGCAGGGCAGCATCACAGCCCAGTTCCTTAGCCAGGGCCCTCAAAGACCCCTCGCCTTCTTTCAACGCGGCCTGTGCCTTTGCGATGTCGCTCTTGACCGTCCGCATGTGCTTGACCGCCTCGACAACGTCGCCGGTGCCGGCCTCGCCCTTTGTTCGAATCATGGCGGCGCCCTCGGCGATCCGTCGAAGAGCCTCACCCAGATTCCGGCACCCGCACACAAAGGGTACCTTGAAGTCCGCCTTCTCCACGTGGTAGGTGTTATCCGCAGGCGTCAAAACCTCACTCTCGTCGATATAATCAACACCTAGGGCCTCGAGGATCTGACACTCGACAAAGTGACCTATCCTAGCCTTGGCCATGACGGGTATGGTGACGGCGGCCTGGATCTCTTTGATGAGGCCGGGGTCGGACATTCTGGCGACGCCACCCTGGGCGCGAATGTCGGCGGGCACGCGCTCGAGGGCCATGACGGCGCAGGCGCCGGCTTCCTCGGCAATGCGGGCTTGTTCAGCGTTGACCACGTCCATTATCACGCCGCCCTTGAGCATCTGTGCCAGGCCGGCTTTTACTGTGAAGGAGGGGAGGTCGCCATTGGTCGCGGAGGAGGTTTGGGGCACGATAGTGGTGGAAGACATGTTGGAGTTGTCGTTAATAACCATAACGGAGGTAATATGCGGTTAGGAGGAAGGTGTATGGTTGGTGATCAAAGAAGTAGGAGTGGGGTGTGAGAAGGTGGTCGAGGCGAGGGATATAAGCGGGTTCGAGGAGAGAGTAGGAGCGTAGCAAGTTGGTTGTTCAGTCGGTCAATCGGATAGACAACCAGATAGGTAGGTAATGTCTTGCCAACAAAGAGGAATAGAAAAAGGCAACTGTCCAAAGAGGAAGTCGAGGGAAAAGGCCGCAAAGTTGTCGAGAGGAGGAGGCGAAAAAAACAAAAAATTATTTCCTCCCCCAATTGTCCTGAGTCACCGAAAAATCAATGGAGATTTCTTTCCCCCCCACACACACGCGCAGAGTCTGGCCACCACAGTTACAGTCCGGAGTAGCAGAATGCAATTAACAAAAGAGGAAAGTGAAAAAAAAGAGGACCTCCTTTTTCCGAGTACGCAGACACCAACCAGGTGACGGACAAAGGGAAGAATAGGTAAGCAAGTTGGTAAGTTGGTTGAGTGATATGGCCAGGCTATATTGGTAAACTGGTTGCGAGGGATGGTTTATGTGAGACTATCAGGAGATGGACGGATGAACTTGTCGTCTGTGTTTATAGGTGCAAATGGTTGTAGATTTGGTGGCTACGGCGTTTGGTTTGCCTGCGCCCTGGGACAAGCAAATAGACACCGAATTCAATGACTGGGAAGTGACTGGCCATCCGGGGAATGCTTTTCCATCGGACTAGGAAAACTTCGCATACAATTTTCCCCGCGGCGACGATGGCCGTCGGAGAAGTCACCCTCACGTGCCCCACTAGACAACTTAACGCTTGCCTAGTAGACACTTTGTATGGTGATTAGTGGTCTAGCCCTGGGTGCTAGTGGTACTAGTGCTTGTCTAACTTGCTGATGCCACCGAGGGGCACTGGTTGGCATCGGAAAGCAGCGGCCTATGACCATCTTCACGATAAGCAGATAAGCGTTATCGGAGGCACGTGACCCGATTAGTCAGTGATATCCCTCTTGCCCTCCACCTCCTGGTACCTTCACTCCGCACCGCCACGGCAGCTCGAATGGAGAGAGAATCCTATGAGTAGGAGGAGGAGGAAGAGGAGGTGTGCAGGGAATTGATTTCCGACTCGTTATTGAACACATACACACCTCATCGAGTGCAGCATGAGCTGACTGAGATTTGACCGACACAGCTTCTCCTCCCCTTCTCTTTCATTTTCCAATCGGCAATGACCAGCTCCTTGGGCTTCTCGATGCGTTGCTCAGCTGCTGCGCCTGCGCTGTGCTCATCATGCCATACTCACAACATACGACCATGTACGTCTCAACGATTCCAGCCCACAAACCAGAAATTCCGCCGCCGGACTCAACCTCCGATGAGCTCGCTCCCCTCTCTTCCTCTCCTCCACCTCCGTTGACAACACCAACGTCAATATCGCTGCCCGACTTACCCGAGGATGTCTTTCTCTTGGTCTTGACAGACCTTTCCGCGTGGGACGTCGTGTGCTGCCAGCGTGTCTCCAAGTCATGGTGCGCCGTATTCTCCAGAGACGAATACATCAGGTTCGTGCTGCAATCGTATCCGCGCGCCAGAGAGGTCCGGTCTCTTCCACCCGGGACCCTGCATCTGCATTCTCCCTGCCAATCACAAGGCTCGCGGGACTGGAAGGCCGTCCTCGCCACAGTTGCCACGCGGTACCACCACCTCGCCCAAGGCACAGCGAGAGTGGTCGACAGATATCCCATGGCTCCGGTTGAACAATTAGGCGACTGGTTCCCCGTGGGCCAGTGGGATTACCACGAAAGCCAGCCAGGAGGTCGGCTCTACTATGAGACAGCGGCCAGTCACCTGAGTCGTGTTGGCACTAAGCCTTACCTCTTTAGACCGACCCTGTGGTCTTACGATGACGGTCTTTTGGTCTTTGCGCCAGCCGAGTGCAATGAAGATGGCTACTTCCCGCAGATCCTGGCTTTGTTGGATGTTGAGACTGGCCACAAGTATCCCATCCCCTTTGACGTTCGAGGTAAGATCATCCGAAATCTGCGCCTGAAAGAGCATACCTTGATCGTGGAATGGGCCGAGAAGGACCCTTTCCACAACCTCAATGCCATGGAGCAAGTCAACCGGCATTTTGCAAATTGTTTCGACGTCCGGCGTACTTCCGGACGTGACAAGTCCTGGGAGGTGACCTGGCGTTCAGAATGGAAGATGCATTTTCTCGGGTTGCCGCCCAATTATCACGACCGCTTCTTCTCGACCCACACTGCCTCCCATTATGCCGTGTATTTCTGGCAGCCCAATCGGAGCATGTACACAGGGGACGAGGAGCTGCCCATTGAGTCGCTCTCGGTCTGGGACATTTCTAGTCCCTCGCCGTACAGACCTTCGACGGATCCGTCTGGCAAATTCCTCCCCACCGGGAAAGCCGGCCCGTATATCGTGTCGAGGTTTTCTTTCAGACAGATGGATCTATTTGGCATCCGTCAGCGCGCCAGCGTCGCCCTGATGTCTCTCCACCTGGACTCGGAAACCCTGTCCCTCACGGTGCGCGAGAACGTGGGCGTGGCCGGCCAGGGCTACTTTGACCCGGCGGAGCGACTGTGGTGTGCCAAGACGACCACGTTCCCCTTCCTCGGCGAGGGCCCCAGACTCTTTAGAGATTGGGACGGCAATCTGCCTCCTTACCGCGGCCATTGTAGCATGGAGACGGCCGACGTGGAAGAAAGCGAGCGGTGGTTCCTGCCCATCATGGACGTGGTCGACACCGACGCCGGCGTCAGACTGAGCCTGGTCGAGACGTGCTTCTCGGGCCAGAGTGCGGACAACAGGCTAGTCGTGCGTATCAAGGTCGACGCCGCCACTAACAAAGACTTTGCGGCCCTCGGGGAGGCTGCGCTCGGCTGGGCCACCCTCGACGACGACTTGACACGGGAAGTCTCCTTTATGGGCCGCATCGCCGGCGACGAGCGGTGGCTGATTGGGCAGAACGAGCGCATGGAGATGGTGGTCATGAAGTTTTGAAAACTCTGGAGTCATTTGACGACGGTTGATGTCCCTCCTTCTTCAGAGCATCTTCTTTCTTGTATATACGAGTCCGCGCTTCCTATTTTCATGTACATGCACACACACACTTTCGATTTGCTCTTTCTCTCTCTCTCTTTCTCTCTCTCTCTTTCTCTCTCTCTCTTTCTCTCTCTCTCTTTCTCTCTCTCTCTTTCTCTCTCTCTCTTTCTCTCTCTCTCTTTCTCTCGGTGTGGAAGAATGAAGGGGAAATGGCCTGTCATGTTGCCCTAGAAACCCCTTGGACACTTCTAGATGATTGTGATCCCGTTTTATTTCGGCGGTTTCATCGAACAAGCGAGGATCTAGAGAAAAGAAGTCCAACCTCCAGATTCTCATATAGTTTCGTGCCATGTTGGCGTCTCAGAACGATGCTACTCTCCTCGCAGTCTCTTGAGTAACCGTCCTGGGTCAAACCAACCAATAGGCATAAAACGGTGTCATTGTTGTGCAAGCCATCAGCTGTGATGCAGTCAGGGACAAGCCACGTCAATCTACAATGTCCAGATGGGTCATTTCCCACCTCAGCACGGAAAGCCATCTCGTCGGGTGAAAGAGAGGAAAGTGCCAGGAGGCCATCTCGCACTGCACCTGATACCTCTATGTGTCTGGATTTCACATCGTCAACAGAGATATCGGAGGGATTAGTGGAATTGTGTGACGGGTGATGGCGGTGGAGTTGGAAGCATTCGTCAATACGGAATACCCCCTTCCAGAAAACCTTCTCGTAGCTGACAAGACACGAGTGATCGTTTTTCCTATATTGCGGTATCCAGGACCATGTCGGTATTCGACTGTGTGACAGCCGCCCGTTTTCGGAAGTCTCCTTTAACGGCTCATTTTGAACGTTACTTTGAGCTTCACTTGAGCACTCGCTCGGGTCCTCGTCCAGGTCCTCGCTCAGATCGTCGTAATTTTTTGCACCCTTTTCTAGAAATTGCTGAGGTTTGACCTCCCAGAGCAATGCTCGAGGAAAGTCTGAAACCCACAAGCCAGCTAAATAGTCACACTTTAGCACTTGACGAAATCTTGACACCAAGCCGGCAAGCGCATGTGGTCGGTCATCAACAGTCGTTAGCAAGAGCGAGGAATAGACTGGTACCATGCGGAGCCATAGATCCAAATGGTCCGATTGAGGAGCTGTACCGTTGAAGACGGAGGTCAGCTTGGGGTTAAAGCCGGGATTCGTAGGGTGAAAGTTCCTGTTTCCTTTTTTAGACAAACGGTGGAGAGTCATCGCTTGAGTACACTAGCACGACAGGCATGCATTGCACTCCCAGATCAATTCTGATCCACCGAAATGAAGGTATCTCGAAGCAAGGAGGCGTTCTTGAAACACCCACGCTCTTTCCAGAAGAGGAGCATGGTCACTGCGACCACGTCTGTCGTTGCAAGTAAGATTCTTTTAGGCTTGGGACACATACCATAAGGTGTATAGAACTCAAGGCGAGTATGATCATCACCCTTAAGGTCAGACCAACGCAAAGGTCTAAAGTCACGCACCACTGTCAAAGGCCTTCCGGGCCTCATCTCAATATAAATCGTGCATGTGTCTTGCTCCTTGTCACCCAAATCCGCCGGCGGCCCACAGTCAAGAATATCCTTCCAAAACTTAGTAATACCTTGTTCAAGCAGAGAACAATACTTGCACTCGTTCTTGGCAGAGTCGACTAAATTACCGAACTCGACTTCACGTACGCGCAGTGCTCTCAGGCTGGACGGGAGGATCTCGTCGGAGTCGAAATCTTCGTATAAGTTGTACGGCAGACAGAAGAGGTGATATTGCAGGTCACGGCACGTGGGACATGCATCGTTTTCCATCATGGTAAAGGGAACGACCTGTACTGGAAAAGGACTGACTGGTAGATAGCGGGGAGAAACAAACTGGAGAAAGTCATGAACAAAAACCTTTCAAGGCTGGAGCCTAATTTAGGCGTCGATTTGAGTGTGCAAGGCCACATAAAAGGAAATTTGCATCGACACGTGGGAATCTCGTCACTCGCTGCCTCACAGCCGCGAGCAGCGTCAGACGCCCAACGGGGCGCCATGTGATGTGGCATGGTGCCTTGAGCGGCTCGGATCCTATAGTCTCAAAGCAAAGCACCGCGACAGGATCGAATCCTCTTTGCAATGGCAGAATATGGTATGAATTGTAGGACGAAGGACTATCAAAGAAGAGAGTAAGTACCCAGGTACCCTGACCTGCGAGGAAGGCGCAGGCGATGTGTAGGCAGTTATTGTGAGGCACTAAACCCAATTAGGGTCGATGGTACGTCTTGGCATATAGCGGACGCCGTGCACGTGACACTCATAAGGCTGGCGACGATCAGGCGATGCCAACTAGCAAATGCTCTGAACTGTGGGAGAGCAGAAGGGAACTGAGGGGAGCGGACAAGGGAGCGAGTAAGTCGAATAGTCATAAGCTGGAGACGAGAGGAGAACGAAAAGAATGTATGGTATGAAGGCGCAATATGAGGTGTACACGGGACGAGGAACGTGGTGGCACTTGAGCAGTGCTGAACAGTAAAATACATAAATGCTAGATGATACATGACGATGCACATGACTATGTACATGAATGCCAATAGACAGACCCATTCTGATCTCAAGCTCCAAGCCACCCAAGAGCAATGAAGTCTTTTCCTGTGATATGACTCGGGCTCTATCCTTGCTTCCTTGCTTCCTTGACAGTCCTATGATTTGAACCATTTTATCTAAATGCCTTGAACCTTGAACTTCTTTCTTTTTGTGCCTTCCATGTCTGAAATAGAGAGTGTGTTTAGATTTTTAGTTTTGTTTTTTTGTTTTTGTTTTTGTTTTTGTTTTTGTTTTTGTTTTTTGTCTTTTTTTTCTTTGACTGACGTGGCGACGTGGTGACAGAAATAACATGGCGGTTATGACATGGTAGTGTAGATGGTTGAGAGACATGATAACAACATGGTATTGTCATTGCTGGATGAGAGGTGGTGCCAATGCATGGTATTGACGGTGATGAAAGCTCAGTTGACGTGGATGAGCGATGAATGCTTGGTGAACGATTGACATTGATCAGACAGGAGATGTAGGTGATCTGTAGATGATGGCAAATGGTGTGTTTAGACCATAGAGAGATGTACGTGGTAATGTTGCGTTGAGAAATGGCTGAGACTGGAACAGGGACTGAAGGAGTGACAAGTTGGAGGAAGATGATGTGCGATAGGTGGTGTTTTCCTCTGGCACTGTGAACTTCAGGACTGAGGTAGATGGCATGCTGTGGTTTGTTTTCCGAATGAGGGGAATTGAGCGAAGGACAGGTGGAGGTAAACAATGACATAAATAGTGGCAGTTGGTGTTCTTTATATTTGAAGGGGTTGATGGTAGAGGTGTGCACCTTGGAGGTTGGAATGTTTGGAGGTAGAGTATGGTGTTGGGAAGTTGATTAAGATGTTGAGTTGATTGAGGTGTTGAGTTGATTGAGGTGTTGAGTTGATTGAGGTGTTGAGTTGATTGAGGTGTTGAGTTGATTGAGGTGTTGAGTTGATTGAGGTTGATAAGAATGAATGAAGCTGTTTAAGGGTGGTTTGAGATTGAGGATTTGAAATTAGGTTGAGGTATTTGGAGGATGAATGTAAATGGTTGAAGTATTTCAATGATAGATTGAGGTTTTGTAGGATAGATTGTTTGAATGGTTGAGGTCCCTTGAAGGATTGAGGTTCTTTGAAGGTTGAGGTGTTTGGAGCAGCATTGAGGTGTTCATAGGATGGGTTGTTTGAAGAATTGAGGAGTTTGGAAGATTGAGGTTGAGTTGTTTTGAGGGAAGAAAAGGTATTGAACGAGCGACAGGTTTCCAGCAGCAGCAGCAAAGGTGGCGAGATAAATGGCAGTGATATTGCAGTCCTCTGTACACAAGACAGCGTCGATGATGAGGTATATGAGAGGCGTCTTTGACTTATGTGAACAGGATTGAATTGAACGAGTGACTGTGCTCTGAGCGACAATGGTTTGAAGCGAGTGACCAACAGAAATGTAAATGAGTGTGTTGTAAAGAGCGTCATGGCTTTGGAGGGAGCCGTAAACCCTGGTGTAAAGAACGTGTATGGCAAGCTCAGATCGAGTCGCACTGCCATGTGGTTGGCATGAAGGTTGACGCTGCTGCCACTGGTGCTCTTGTCGCTGAATAAAATACAGACTGGCAGACCTGGGACATATCTTTGTGCAGCTCGATGGACAGAGAGTCTAATAACGCTTGGAAGCGCTTTCGGTCTCCTGACTCAAGGCCCACATCCAACTGTTGCGGCATCTACCCAGCCGAAGCCAGTACGCACGCATCCAGATGTCATCTGTGTAACTCAGTAACCGGGACATCAGCCGAAGCCTTCTCACTGTCATTACTGGTTTGCAACCGTCTGTGACCTGACGGTAGATAGAGGTCCGTTCTGCAAGGCAGTCTGGGGGCTAACCGCTGTTATCAGACGTCGGCGTCGTGCGCATTTGGCCGCGGTGCCCTCTAGTAGGCTGTCCATCGGTCGGACAAGTGTCCACGTCGTGGACGAGGAACAACCCTTGGGAGGGTTGAGGAGGGAGAGGAGAGAGGAGGGGGGAAGGGGGAGAGAGGGCCGTCGTCACCTTCCCAGAGTTCAACAGGAACCTCTGAGAAGGAGCAGTCAAAAGATGACGTGCTCCCATGCTTGGGTGGACGGCAGAAGATCTTGCGGAGGCGCCTGCGGAGACGCAACAAGAGGAAGAACCTCTTGAGCTCCCAGCAGGTCTCGCTGGCCAAGATGGAGAAAGAGACGCCCATGGTGCTTGTCAAGCGGGCGGAGGAAAGAGAGAGAGAGAGAGAGGTGAATGTGACTGTGGAGGATCTTGTTAGCAATGGTCAACTTGGTGATAGGGAGGACTTTGTACTCACGAGGTGGTTGTTGCTGCTGTCGCGGTCGCTGTTGCTGTCGCTGCTGCTGCTGGTGCTGGTGTCGCTGTGC